CTTACTAAATTAAGTGGTTGTTATAGTACACCCTCCAAATTTATTTATACAATACAGCACCGCTGAAGAAAGCCATTGTCAAAAGAGTAGAAGTTGGAAGTGTATTGTTAAGCTTAACTTCTAAACAATCAAAAAGAACTAAATTAGGGACTTAACCCAAAGATAAGTTGGTAATAGTATTACCCGAGCACTTTAACTCAATTAAGTTCTTGCTACTAGAACGCAAATCTAATTGGGTTAAGATTATTGCTGCAATCCAGATGAGTCAAAAAAGGAGAATTAGCGAAAGAGATAGCAAGAGCAGGAGCAAGAACTCCTAGACGGTTATGGGAAATATTAAGTTTTCTAAGTTTTAAGATATCAATACCAATTGTTTCAAAATTATTGTGAGAAAAATCTATCTCTTCCAAAATAGTGGGTAATGAATATCAGTTTAATTTATTGAATGAAACATTCACTTTTTTCAATTTGTTAAAATTAAGAACAAGAGCGCTCTCGAAATCTTGATTGCTAATATCTAAATTAATAATTTGTTCTCTGGTTTTGCCATAATTTTCTTTATCATCTATTCTTTGGTAAGTGCCATTTACAGGATAATTTAGATTTAACCATTCGGTTGCGTTTACCATGTTTTTATTTTTGTTATTATAGTTTTTTCTAGAAGAAAAATTTTGGTACAATGTCAAAAAGAATTTAGGAATGATTTTTTTTTTAGATAAAAACAAAAAAGTTCTTAATTTTTCCCTAATTTGTTTTTTGTCAATCGGCCTTATACACATAACTTTGCTTTCTCTGTTTTGTCTAGTTTCACCAGCATCATTAATTATACTATTTTATAGTAAACATTGTCTTTTTCGTCAATTTGTTTAGTGTACTTTTATCAATACGCATGTTGAACATAAATATGATAAAATAGGTATTTAAGGGTTAGAGTTGATTGAATGAATTTATTTGAGGATTGTAATTCAGGGTTCGATATATAGGAACTTTGCCTTGAAAATCACCTTCCGACATTTCCAATCGGGTTAATTCGGACAAAAATAAACCCGAGTACCGGTTCATGTTCATATGTTAATCATCTTTTACTTTTATTGAT